GACAGTCAGCAGAACAGCAGCCCTTGATGCTGCTTGGAAATTTCCATTCTTTGCTTGCAGCTCTGAAAGAAAAAAAAAAAAAAAAAAATCTAAAGAGCCCAGTAGCTGGGAAATTTCCACAATGGAAAATTTTAACATATTCTTTAGCTCTAAACTATGCAGGTTTATAGAGACAATTTTTTTTTCTTTTGGTAATTTCCTTCTTTAACAATAATTTATGAACATGGTAACACTACAGCTGTGGGAACAGGGAGGGCAAGATGACTTGGAGAGGAATGGGTATGGTTTTGCTAGTGGGAGGCTGTGCTTTGTCACGTTTGACTACCTGACCATAGAAATGCAGATTGCTATCAGTGCAATAACCAGTGGGACCCACTGGTTGGGAATTCATCCAAATAGAGATAGTTTACTCAGGAGCACTGCAGAGAAATCTGTTTGAGACCAAAAGTGGAAAGTGAATGGATATAACTGGAAGATGAGTGGAGATGGTGGGTCCTGTTGCTGAAAAGAGCAATCTCAGGCAGATCTCTTTGACCACTGCTTCTTGAACCTAAATGTGCATATGAACCACCTAGAAATCTCGTTAAGTTGTAGATTCTGATGCAGTAGATCTGGGATGGGGCCTGGGACTCTGGTTTAAATGGTTCCAAGGTGATGCTGTGGCTATCCTTCAGTGATGCCCTTCTAAGGACTATTCTGTGAATGGCCAGACCAGAGAAAACATGTCCTCATCATTGTGAGGCCAGCTGGCCTCCCATAGCAAAACACAGTCAAAGGACAGCTGGAAGTGAGCTCCCTTGGGGTTATTCTCTCAGATTACAGAGCTATGGTCTAAGAGAACAACTGAATGTCTTCTGGAAAAGATGCTCCATGCAACTCTGGATACAGTGGATCTTTTGAAATGTGGGGATGCAAGCAGTTATCAGAAACCCACCTAATCTAGCAGGTTCAAATTGATGGCTTCTAGAACTCAATGCCTGTTCAGAGAGATCCCTCTAAGAAACTGGCAAAGATTCCTAAACTGGTCTTCTGATTCTATAGCGTTATGTCATATGGAGTGAAGCATAAATGAACTAACTCCAATTATTGAGGAAATACTGTTGGCCAGAAGGGTATAACGGGCAAAAGGAATTTATAAAATAAACTACATCCATCCCAGCCAGAGTAATTGCCTCACTGTTGATTGAAATAAATTGTGAATCAGAGAATTTTCCATTTTCTTAGTAGCCATCTTACCTTTATTCTACCTATTTTCCAGAAAGAGCCAGTGAGAGACTGAGAGAGAGAGAGATCAATCTGGCATCTTTATTCCAGGGTGTTACCTCTAGTTGAGTTGTAATATGTCTGCTGTGTGTATCTTTAAAGTGACATTTGTCCTATTTTTCACTTTCCATTCAATTGAGTTTTGGATGGGTTATTACTACTTAAATTTTCAAATTAAAGTACACAGGAGCATATAGGAAAAAAGGAGGAGGGAGACTACCATCATGAAAATGTAGTGTTGAAATCAGAGTGTAACAGGCATGAAATGAATCTGATAATTAAAAGTATTAAAATATATATTAAAAAATACCTATGCTAGTATTCCATCATTACATAATATTTACGTATTCTAAATGGCTTATCGTATTATTTAGGGATTTGGACTTCTAGAATTTCTAGATTTTTTAAAATCTTCACTGTGTGGTTAAGGTATGATGATTCAGCATTGAAATAGACTTCCTAATTACTTAGGTAAAAGAGATCAGTTTGGGTTTTTCTTACTATAGGTCTCAGTGAGCAATTATTCACTTAAGAGCCATCTGACAACATACAGCCAATCAAATTAAATTTGTTTGATCCACTTAAAGTCATATCTGCTTAACAATAAACAATAATTATAAAAAAAATTAACATTATGGAGTCCTTACACCAAGTGAGGCATCTGATTCTTACAAAGTTATAAGTTGGGTGCCATTATTATATAGATGAGAAACTGGGATTTAGAGAGCTTAAATGCATTGCTTGGGATCCGTATATTATGGCCAAACAGGAATAACCATTGCTGGCCAACCCCACTTACTCTAGTGCTTTTTCCAAATGCCACAGCCACATCTCAGATTCATTTCCCTTATCACAGACAGATGGATAGATACTCCTTCTCAAGTTTAACAACTTCACAGAGCTTGATTCAAATACTGAATGTGTTGTTAGTTGCTTACAGCTGCTATTTCTCTAGCAGTGCAGTAAGTCCAGGCAAACTCTTTTGAAGAGCTCATTAAAACTGCTAAAATAAAGTCTTAGAAGCAGGTGCATTCATTAGCTGAAATGCAGACGATTATGTTAATATTGCATTCAGGTGACAAATTTAAAGCCATCAAAATCATGGAGGATAAAAGGACTTTTAAAGCTAAAGTTTACTTCTTTCTTTGTAGGGCTCTTTGCTCTATTAAACATGTGACTGCCTTTGCAGCTGTCAACATGGGGACCTCCAATGTTACCTCACAAAAATAAAGCCAATTTTTGCAGTATCATATTTCCTTTATAATTTCTTGGGTCTCTATTCAGGAAAAGAAAGGTAAGGCATTGCCTACAACCCTACTGCTAGTTTCTAAATAGGAAATCTAGCACTTGATTTACAATCTATTGTCAGATTGAGCCCAAGGGTAGAGGAGACGTGATCAAGTAGATGTTTAAACTATGTGGACAGTAAGTTCAGTTTAGGATCAGATGGACCAAGAGCTCTTGCACTTTACCTTTTCTTTTTTCTCTTAAAGAAATATTGAGCATGAAATATGTATATAACCATATATCTGTATTTAGTAGGCTATACATCAGAATGTGAATAGTTACACCAGGATGATCTTGATTTTTTTTGTTTGTTTTGTATTTCTTGTATCGTCTACAGTGAATACATATTACTCTGTAAATTAAAAAATTATTAGAAATTATTACAGAGCAATTAGCCTCTCCACATTCAGCTGCTTTACCTATAAACCTGGGTTCAGTTTAGTTCAGTAGAGTTTGAACAAACTCCAGGAGATCGTAAAGGACAGAGAAACCTGGTGTGCTGCAAAGCATGGGGTCACAAAGAGTCAGACACAACTGAGTGACTGAGCAACAGCAACAAAACTGACCTGGGACTTTATTACATTTGCAAAATCTCTTCACAGCAGTACCTAGATTAACCAGGGTATTCAGGTATTGACTGGATAACCAGGGCTGGTAATCTTGAGAAACTAACTCAGATAACCATGAGGAAACAGAGTTTCCCAGTTAACCTGAAATATAATCTGGAAATAGGTTCCCAACATTATAGAATCAAAGAATTTATTTTTTGTTTATTATTTATTTATTATTTTATTCTTCTACTTGCATTTTTGATATATATTTATATACCAGTTCAGTTCAGTTCAGTCACTTAGTCATGTCTGACTCTTTGCAACCCCATGGACTGTAGCACGCCAGGCCTCCCTGTCCATCACCAACTCCCGGAGCTTACTCACACTCATGTCCATCAAGTTGGTGATGCCATCCAACCATCTCATCCTCTGTCTTCCCCTTCTCCTCCCACCCCCAATCCCACCCAGCAACAGGGTCTTTTCCAATGAGTCAACTCTTTGCATGAGGTGGCCAAAGTACTGGAGTTTCAGCTTCAGCATCAGTCCTTCCAATGAACATCCAGGACTGATCTCCTTTAGGATGGACTGATTGGATCTCCTTGCAGTCCAAGGGACTCTGAAGAGTCTTCTCCAACACCACATTCAGAAGCATCAATTTTTCAGTGCTCAGCTTTCTTCACCATCCAACTCTCACATCCATACATGACCACTGGAAAAACCATAGCCTTGACTAGACGGACCGTTGTTGGCAAAGTAATGTCTCTGCTTTTTAATATGCTGTCTAAGTTGGTCATAACTTTCCTTCCAAAGAGCAAGCGTCTTTTAATTTCATGGCTGCAATCACCATCTGCAGTGATTTTGGAGCCCAAAAAAAGAAAGTCTGACACTGTTTCCACTGTTTCCCCATCTATTTGCCATGAAGTGGTGGGACCAGATGCCATGATCTTAGTTTTCTGAATGTTGAGCTTTAAGCCAACTTTTTCACTCTCCTCTTTCACTTTCATCAAAAGTCTTTGTAGTTCCTCTTCACTTAAACCTGGGTTACTTACCTATAAAACTGCCTAATACATGGGAACCAGATGAGATGTTATCCCAATCCCCTTTCTTTTCAAATCTAGGATGTCGGTGGAAACATTGATTCCTCTTTTCAGAAGAAAATATAAGAAAAAGAGAAATAGTATCCAGTCGCTTATAAGACAATTATAAACATGCTTAGATATTTTTATATCACTCTTCAAAACCTCCATCAAGTGGGGATTCATCAAAGTGAATGCATCTGCCACTTGCAAAGGGAAAACTTTGGCAACATTTTTAGGCCAAACTTATCCAAATTTTTTTTAGTTATATGTTCTGGGAAGTCTTTGTAAGCTAAAACTTGACACAGTCTTTTTTTCCCCATATGGTATGCTATAGTGACTGTATTACTGATTGCAAAATATAAATAATAAAACTGCTACAGGGCTGAGCCCATACAGTCATAGGGCATGTTTACATATTGTGTTTGTGTGTGTATGTGTGTGTGTCTAAAGAGATAAATTAACAAGCTGAAAGACTACTTGTACACCGTAACAGTCCTGTTTTTGCCTTCCTTTGTCTTCGACTTTTCTTCTTCTACTTCACCCTTTATATTATTGCTTTCTTTTTTCCTACACAATTTAAAAGACCACTGACCTCATTTTAAATGAAAAGCAATATAGAAAGCAGGAAATATCTCCTTGGGATGGGGCTGGATAAGCAAATACTTCTATATACATGTAAACATTCTGAACACCTGTACAGATAGCTGAATCTCTGCTCCAAACTGTCCTAAGTCTCATTAGTTGGGACTTTGACTGCTGGACAGCTCCAAGTTTCCTATGAATTTTTTCCCACCCATTCCATCTCCTGTTTAATTTTCAGAGCTGCCACCTTCACAGAAGCTGCTGGTTCAAGACAAACTGAGGAGGGTGACCAGAAGACACTCCTATCTTTTCAATATGGCACATCACCACCCTATGTTTAGAGGGTGAACTTCAGAGCACAGAATTTAAAGATGAAAGGAACGTAAGAGGATACATGAGTCAAGTTTTCTATATGTGTCTCCCTTGTAGATCATACCTGATAGTCATCCAGACTGACCTGAGAATTTTCCAATGACAAAAATATCCTACCTTTTTCATTTTTATGCTGATAGATGAGTATTTAGAGCACAAAAAGTGTTCAATCACAAGGCCAAAAAGGAAAAAAAATTCCTAATCCTGCCACCCTTTAAAATATCAACTATTTTTAACTTTTATTACTATGTTACTGATCCAGGACCCCCCAGTCTCAAGTAAATACAACCATTTAGGGTCCATGAGGAATGTAAAGGAGCTGAACCATTGGGCTTAAAGACATTTTGGAGATTTTATTTGTCCATGGTACCAATCATACCATGAGAGTCAGATCTTGCAAAGAAAAGTTGTGTATAGAATTTAGAACCCTCAGTAGCACAGTGTTTTCTGAATCTCTTCCTAATCATGCCCTTTTGTCACTCTGACACCCGTACAATAAAAGAAAATTTCTGAGATTATCTTATTGAGGGATCTTTCCAACATTTACACATACTATCTAACAATGTGTTCCCAAGTTGCCTGAATTGTACCATGTGATGGGATTCTTTTCAAAGGAAACTGGAGAGTTCAGCAGTATTCTGAAACAACTAGGTGTGGCAACACAAAGAACAAAAATAACGAAAGAAAACCCTTCAAAGATAGTGTGCCCCCTGGAAACAGACAGTCTGCCTTTTCACTTTGGGCATATGGGAGATTCTTTTAAGCTGAGTTGTAAGGGTGAAAGGGCTGTTGAGTTTTGGCGAAGCAAATTTAGAAAATCAGTTAGCTAATAGAGAGGGTAGAAGACTGTGAACTATAATTTTGGCTAAGTGAATAGAATAGGTTTCTTTAATGATAATTATTTTTAATGAATTTTTGTAAAGAGAAACTATTGAAAAAATTCAAACAACATACACACACACAAAAATACAAGAAAGAAAGCAAAAACCATCCCACATCCCACCACCTAAAAATAACTGTCATAGATGTTACAGGAATGTTATTTCAGAGATGGGATAAGAGATATCTTAGAATTTTAAAAAGCAGTTTGCACTCAGGCAGCTAAACAGTCTTTGGATGATGGTCTAAAGAGACTCTAGGCCTGATTTTTGAAAATGTCTAGTTCTTCCGAAAAGTGATGAAAGGAAGTGAAGAGCAGAAGAATGATCAGTCCATAAGCAATTGTAAGAGTATGAGTTCAATAGAAATAGGCAGATATGTTTATTTATTCTAGTTATCCGTGATTGACTCTCAATCTGGCTGCATCTGAAACATATTACAACAAGATATGTTTCCAACATGCTTTCAGTTTATGAGTCAACATTATGCTGACTCTCATAACCATGTAAAATAATCAGTTGATACTAAGCTGGTACATATTAATTTGGTCATTCCAGTTGTTTATGGCAAAGTATCCTTTTTGCTTAATTAGACAGCTATTTTGATTGTCCAGTGCTGATAGTTTACCAGCAATTAAATGAGCATCACCTTTGGAGTAGGAAATGATGCTGTTGTTATTCAGTTGCTCAGTCATGTCCACTTCTTTGTGACCCCATGGACTGCAGCACACCAGGCTCCTCTGTCCTTCACTATCTCCTGGAGTTTGCTCAAACTCATGTTCATTGAGTCAGAGATATTATCTAACCATGTCATCCTCTGCCACATCCTTCTCCTTTTGCCTTCAATCTTTCCCAGCATTAGAGTCTTTTCCAATGAGTTAGCTCTTCACATCAGGAGGCAAAGTATTAGAACTTCAGCTTCATCATCAGTCCTTCCAATGAGTATTCAGGTTGATTTCCTTTAGGATTCACTGGTTTAGTCTCCTTGCAGTCAAAGGGCCTCTCAAGAGTCTTCTCCAGTACCACAGTTTAAAAGCATCAATTCTTTGGCATTCAGTCTTCTTTATGGTCCAACTCTCATGTCTGTTCATGACTACTGGAAAAACCAGAGCTTTGACTATACGGGCCTTTGTCAGCAAAGTGATGTCTCTGCTTTTTACTATGCTGTCTAGGTTTGTCATAGCTTTTCTTTCAAGGAGCAAGTGTGTTTTAATTTCACGGCTGTAGTCACCATCTGCAGTGATTTTGGAGCCCAAGAAAATAAAATCTGTCACTGCTTCCACTTTTTACCCTTCTAATCACCATGAAGTGATGGGACTGGATGCCATGATCATAGTTTTTTGAATGCTGGGTTTGAAGCCAGCTTTTTCACTCTCCTCTATCACCCTCATCAAGAGGTTCTTTAGTTCCTCTTCACTTTCTGCCATTGGAGTGATATCATCTGCATATCTGAGGTTGTTGATATTTCTCCAGGCAATCTTAATAGGAAATGATAGGCAAACCTAAACTCTTGCCTAGCACTTCTATTTGTTTATCATCTGATGCCTACATTCTCACTTTACTTCCCCTTGTAGCAAAAACTCTAGCAAAACCATCTTCCTGTGGTTTGTTGAATACACAATTTGGTGCCACTTCATATTTTCATTATCTTGGCAATATATTTAATTCCCAGGAGAACAGCTTCCCAGGGGTAGGGAGTGGCAGGGAAGGAAAGGCAGATGCACAGCACCTTGGTCTTCCAGGTGAACGACCAGTCATTTTGCCCTTGCTTTAGGCCAGAAAGGCTGTAGCAGAAGCTTAATACAGCAGATGCCAGTATATATAGAAATTACATTATTCCCGGTACAAGAGATTCTGCCCACTCTTCTGGTTAAGTTCATGCTTATCAGTAAAGGCAAATATACATTGTTGTTGTTCAGTTGCTAAGTCCTGTCTGACTCTTTTTAATCCAATGGACTGCAGCATGCCAGGCTTCCCTGTCCTTCACCATCTCCTGGAGTTTGCTCAAATTCAGGTCCATTGAGTTAGTGATGCCATCCAACCATCTCATCCTCTGTCATCCTCTTTGCCCCCTGCCTTTAATCTTTCCCAACATCAGGGTCTTTTCCAGTGAGTTGGCTCTTCGCATCAGGCATCCAAAAGATTGGAGCTTAAGCTTCAGCATCAGTCCTTCCAATGAATATTCAGGGTTGGTTTCCTTCAGGATTGACTGGTTTGATCTCCTTGCTGTCCAACGGACTCTCGTGAGTCTTCTCCAGCACCACGATTTGAAAGCACCAGTTCTTCAGTGCTCAGCTGTCTTTATAATCCAACTCTCATATCCATACATGACTACTGGAAAAACCATAGCTTTAACTATACGGACCTTCGTCAGCAAAGTGATGTCTCCTTTTTCATACACTGTTATATGCCCTGTTCAATCCAAATCTGCCACTTCAGTATTCACCTGAGAATAGTATTCTTTGTTTTAAATTGAAATGTAGTTGATCAACAGTAATACATTAGTTTCAGATGTATAACATAGGGTTCAACATTTATAAACATTACGAACTGATCACCACAATGTCTAGTTAACCATCTGTCACCATTCAAAGTTATTACAATATTATTGACTATATTCCCTATTCTGTATCCCCATGATTCAGTTGTTTTTTTAACTGGAAGTTTTTACCTCTTAATCCCCTTCACCTTCACCCAAATCCCAACCTGCCTGCCTTCTAACAACTAACAGTTTGTTCTCTGTATCTACGAGTCTGTTTCTATTTTGTTTTGTTTGTTCATTTATTTTGTTTTTTAGATTCCACATATAAGTGAAATCAAATAGTATTTGTCTTTTTCATTTCACTTAGTGAAATACTCTCTAGGTCTATTCAAGTTGTTGCAAATGGCAAGATTTCATTCTTGTTTTTATAGTTGGATAATAATAGTCATGTATTATCGAGTTGATGCTCTTATCAATTGATATTCTTGAGAGTATATTAACAACTGATACTCTTGAGAGCCCCTTGGACTGCAAGGAGTTCAGACCTGTCAATCCTAAAGCAAATAAATCCTGAGCATTCTTTGGAAAGACTGATGCTGATGCTGAAGCTCCACCTGATTCGAACAGCTGACTCATTAGAAAAGACCCTGATGCTGGGAAAGACTGAAGGCTGGAGGAGAAGGGGACGACAGAAGACAAGATGTTTGTAGGCATCACTGACTCAATGGACACGAGTTTGAGCAAGCTCCAGGAAATGGTGAAGGACAGGGAAGCCTGGCATGCTGCAGTCCATGGGGTCGCAAAGAAGCAGACATGACTGACTGAAAAACAACAAAAATCGAGTCACAGCGCTCTGGCTCTCCTAGATGTAAGCCTGCTGGTTTTTAAAGCTGGATGTTAGGGGTGCTCATCTTTCTGGTGCAGGTCCCCCTGGCTGGGGAGTCTACCTGAGGTCTGGCTCTCTCCCTCCACAGGGAGAAAGCTCTGTGACTACGACATCCCTCCTGATAGTGGGTAACTCATGGGGGGAGTGGGTTCTGATTAGACTGTGTCTCTGTCCCTCCTACCCATCTCAATGGGCCTTTCCCTTATGTCTTCAGTTGTAGAAAATCTGTTCTGCTAATTTTTGAGTCATTTTCAGAGACAGTTGGTCTTTGTGTAGTTGCAGTTTTGGTGTGTCTGAGGGAGGAGGTGAGCCGAATATCCTCCTACTCTGCCATCTTGATCTAGAACCTTTCTAAGAATACTATTCTTGCTTAGCCAAGGCTGCTTCCCCTATGGGAAGAATAAAGAAGACATCTTTTTCTTTGTAAGTAAAACTATTCAATAATGGGGGAGGAGGACTTTGTCACATCAAGGTCCGTTTTTACTGGTTATGTTTCTTTTTCTGAGCATACTAAATATTTCCCTGAGTCAAGGTTTATTCTTTTGATTTTCTAATCTTTGACTTTTTAAAATGTGTCACTCTTCATTTATTTATTTATTGGTGAATGTATCCCATAAGATTCTTTCTCTTGCTGAGATGAAGTAATTATTATTTAATTATTTCTTTATGAAAAGGAAAGAGTGAAATTCTCCTTCCCCTACTCTTAAACATACCTCATTAAACTTACGTTTGGGCAAAGACTTGGCTGGAAATTGTTAAATTTGAAGGAAATTTTCTTTTTTTTTTTATGTTGCAAAAAACAGGGACATTGTGATCTCCATTATGTGTGTTAAATTCAGAGAACATTGATACTGATTATCCACAAGGTAGATTATCCCAGTTATTTTTATTTAAAATTTTTATGCTAGCATTCCCCTCCTACTTATATTTGACTAATGCTAATACAAAATTAGATGCCATTTTCTGACTTACTCACCAACTTACACTGAGAAAATGCAGGTCAAATAGATGAAAGAGGAAAACCAATATATTTCCTTGGTAACCTGCATATCACAATTAAAGGTAATTGCTTAATCAGAAATACAGATATGTTCACCTAATAATAGCTCTGTTTATCTCATAAACTAGAATATAAGACCACCTGATTCATTTTCCAGAAAAAAAAAGTGTCAATGGTTTTAGCAAATTAGTTTTTCACTGACATGTTCTAATTTAAAGATACCATTTCATTTTAATTGAGAGTGGAACTTCACCATTTTTTTTTACTATTGATACTTGTGAAAATCAAGCAGCAGGCTCCAAGTCCATTCCTATGTCACTTGTTTTTATTTTTATTGTATTTAAAGAGTAGGAGCCACATTCTACGTAAAGGCTGCTGTTGCTAAGTCGCTTCAGTCGTGTCCGACTCTGTGCGACCCCATAGACAGCAGCCCACCGGGCTCCTCTGTTCCTGGGATTCTCCAGGCAATAATACTGGAGTGGGTTGCCATTTCCTTCTCCAAACTATGTAAAGGAATTAAGGCCATATTTCGAAACACTTCTTCCTCCTTCCCTAGATTAATTAAGTAGCCACCTCAATGTTTGAAACTTCATTAATATTAGCTGATTAGGCACATTAGAAACAATCAATTTGAATTAGTGAAAACTTCGAATACATATAAAAATACATACTTTTATCCCTTTATGGTAT